ATGCTCCATGATCTCCATCCACACACCAGCCTTTCAAATTCCTGAGGTAAAGCCGAACTGGTGGAGGATCTTTTCAGTGGGACTCTCTACAGGTTATGGTTCTTCTCAACTTTGCCCCAGAGTCCTGGTACCAGGCACCACAACTCCTAAGGCCTCCTGCCTCTATGGACTCTGGGTCCAGGAAACAGTGGGTGTAGGTGACAACTAAACCCCTGTTTCCCTTCTATGGGCCAAACCCTGGGCTCCAGTGGGTGCGTGGGTGATGACCTCTGCCCTCTGTTCCCCTATCCTCAATGCCGGACAGCCATGGTCTCACAGATGCCCAATATCCACCAATATGACTCTACGAGTCACCATGATATTGTTATTGTCAGTAAGTGGTCTGGGAAGCCTGACTTGTTCCCTCACTTCTTTATTCTATCCAAGATGGGAAACTGACTCCATACTGAAGAAGTCTCGAGGATGTACAGTTTGATCTTTAGATCTTATGAAAGAGATGGCTAACACTTTTCTGTGGTAATAGCATAGCCAAAATGAGAGCCTGAATTATGATTTCACAGCTAGATTTACTTTCTTTTTTTTTTTTTTTTGACAGTCAGAGTGGACAGTGAGAGAGACAGACAGAGAGAGAAAGGTCTTCCTTTGCCGTTGGTTCACCCTCCAATGGCCGCCGCTGCAGCCGGCGCACCGCGCTGATCCGATGGCAGGAGCCAGGATCCAGGTGCTTTTTCCTGGTCTCCCATGGGGTGCAGGGCCCAAGCACCTGGGCCATCCTCCACTGCACTCCCTGGCCATAGCAGAGAGCTGGCCTGGAAGAGGGGCAACCGGGACAGAATCCGGCGCCCCAACCGGGTCTAGAACCCGGTGTGCCAGCGCCGCAAGGTGGAGGATTAGCCTATTGAGCCACAGCGCCGGCTTAGATTTACTTTCCATGGGCACAGTAAACAGGCAAAACCTCCTCTTTCAAACCAAATGAAAGTTTTACTAATGCCTTCAAATTTTATATATAAGATGGTCATCATATTTGATGCTAAAGTGAAAACAGAGCCTTCCTCATGGGCATTGTCTACCTGACAGAAAAACCACTATCAGAATATGCTTGTGACTAGAGACTTCTAGTTTAGGTCCCCAAAGATTAGAGATGGGACTCGAGGACCCCCTTGACTTGCTTCCTCTTAAAGGTTTTCACTGGTCTGCCTTAACAAAAACCAGGAGGAAACGAGAGCTAGGCATCAGAAGCAATGTAAAGATGAGTGGCAGGCAATTAATGGCTGCTTTGCACAGTGATCTGCCATCAAGGAGACCCAACAGGTCAATCCACTGCAGTGGCTTTTGACGTGGAAAGCCACAGCTTCAGCAGAAGTCAGCTTATGAAGAGCCCTGGTAGCTCTGCCAGCCAAGAGTTGAATCCTTGGAAATGGAACCGCCTTGGAGTCGGAGGACTTCAGGTGAGAGCCACAGATCTTGTTTGCTCTAAGCTGAAAAGCCCTTAACTCAGCCCAGCTTCCAAAGTAACCACCACTTCTGAGGGGATGGCCAAGTAGGGTCAGCAACATTACAGGCAGAACCGTAAATTTCCTGTTTGAGATGCCACCTGCCTTTACCTGGCCAGCTCTCCTCCCAGGTCAGCTAGGTAATGGAAGTCAATAGGGTGCCTCCCAAATCTCCCTGAGACTCAAGTGGTAGGAATACCTTTTAGAAGGAATGAGCCTCTGGTAACCCTCCCATTCTTCACCTCCCAGAATACCATGAGCTGCTCCACCATCAACTCCCTGCTTGACATTGTCTTCACTATCAACAGTGTCCAGTGTCCTCAGACCACCATGCCTACATCCTATAGGTAAGACAGCACTGGGCCAGCCTCAGGGTGGGTCCACCCACCAGGTGATCACATGCTGCCCTCTTCCATGAGGGAAACCACACTTCTCTCAACTGAAGCCAAGAGACAAATTGACATCTGCACTGCACAGTCTGCAGACAGAATGAGATTTTGTATGAAGTCGCTAAGGGGAAAAGTGAGGCAAAAGATGATGGCATGAAAAGAGGACTGTTGAAACCTCTGGGTCTGAGCCCTGAGCCTCAATATCCAGCCCATTCTTTCTGATCAAGGTGCAAACTTTACTGTCCTGTTTCCTCATCTAAAACCAGAGCTGCCCCTCTCAGGCACAGTTAAGGTAAACACATCTTTAGTCCAATGAGCCACAGGAGCACTCCTTGCCTTCTACTATACTGCCAGGTGCACAACATGTTTTTCCCAGTGTGTTGACATTGACATTGCTCAGGGAGAGGAATTAGACCCAGGCTAGTCTAATGTGCAGCCCAGGCTGCACCCAGTAACCCAGGGAAAGAAAAGAACCAAAGCCTTCCTGTTGTACCACTGGCTGGGATGAGAACACAGAAGTAGTCACATTCGGGGTTTCCAAACATCCTTCATAAAATGACTGCTCCCTAAATACCAGTGCTGAGGCCAGGGTTTGTATGCCTGTCAAAGACACCAGATATTGTTTGGCAATCTGTCACACAAAGATGCAGTGGCCATTTTCTGCATGAACACCCCAGGTCTGCAACAACCACATCCCTGGACACTGAGCCAGGAAGCCCGTGCTTCCATTTACCTTGCTGGCAGGTCGGGGAGAACTTGACGTGTACTGCCCAGCCCTGTCACCCTGACACTCTGTCCCATCTCCTGTGCTGCTCTCTGTCCCGCAGGAAGATGACGACTGCCTCAGTGGCTTCGACGGCATGAACCTCGACACCTCCTACGGCGAGCTCTGGATCCTGGGTGACGTCTTCATCCGCCAGTACTTCACCGTCTTCGACCGGGCCAAAAATAAGCGTGGCCTGGCTGCTGCAGGTTAAACCTGCAGCTTTAAAACACTTCCAGAAAGATCTGGCCTTAGTGTTGCACCCCCTTAGATGGAGAGAATTCTCCTGATTGTTCTTCCTGAAACATAGTCATTGTCCAATAAACTTAGATGCCTGACCCTGTTCCCATCATTCTAACAGTATAGAATAAAAAGAGCTGATGAAAATGTCTGTGTGGCTGATTCTCCTCACTAGTATTTCTCATCCCTTGCATCACAACACCATGCAGACAAGCAGAAACAACCATGTCCACTTGGGCATCACCAAATACAGCGACAGTACAAGTCGGCAACAGCAGGTCCCTCTGGGAGCATCACAAAAAGACCTTCGGACCAGAAACACTGGGCCCACTGTCTCCAGCTAGAGAACAGCACCCATGCCTGTGGTTGCGGGAGTCAACGTCTTACGTCTCCCAGAGCCACCAGGACATGATGAGGAAAGGGAGAAAGTCCAGGGGAGGAGCTGTGACAGTGATGTTCCCGACTAAGCAGGAGTCATCCATGTTGTCTGTTAGACACAGGCAGGAAAGTGACAGACACTGACACTCAAGATCTTCCAGGCTACACTTTATGCTGAGCTGACAATTAGGAACCTGAATTTGTCCTCCACAAACTGATCTATTTCCCTATCTGTAATTTAAAGAATACAGTTTTGGGGTGGGCATTTGACGCAATGATTCAGACACCTCTTGGGATACCTGCATCTCATATCAGAGTGCCTGGGTTTAAAATCCAGCTCTACTTTCAGTCCTGCCTTCCTACTAATGCACACTTGGGAGGCAGCAGGTGATGGTTCCAGTGCTTGGGTCTCAACCACCCAGAGGGGAGACATAGATCAAATTCCAGGTCTTCAGGCAAATGGAAACTCAGTCTCTCCTCTCTCCTCTCTCTCTCTCCTCTCTCTCTCCCCCCTCTCTCTCTCCTCTCTCTCTCCCCTCTCTCTCTCCCCTCTCTCTCTCCCCCTCTCTCTCTCCTCTCTCCTCTCTCCTCTCTCTCTCTCTCCCCTCTCTCTCTCCTCTCTCTCTCTCCTCTCTCTCCTCTCTCCTCTCTCTCTCTCCTCTCTCTCTCCCCCCTCTCTCTCTCCTCTCTCCTCTCTCCTCTCTCCTCTCTCTCTCTCTCTCCCCTCTCTCTCCTCTCCCCTCTCTCTCTATCCCCTCTCTCTCTCCCCTCTCTCTCCTCTCTCCTCTCTCTCTCTCCTGTCTCTCTCTCTCCTCTCTCTCTCTCTCCCCTCTCTCTCTCTTCTCTCTCTCCCTTCTCTCTCTCCCTTCTCTCTCTCCTCTCTCTCTCCTCTCTCTCTCCTCTCTCCCCCCCCTCTCTCCCCCCCAAGCACTTCAAATACATAAGAAGGAAAGAAAGAAGAGAGGCAGGAAGCAAGGAAGGAAAGAAAGAAAAAGGAAGAAGGAAAGGGATGTTTTTAGAGTTATGCCCATGGGCATATGTGCATTGGAAACATAAACCAGAAGGATTCAGAGCAATATTTCTTCAAGTGGGTTTGGTAGCAAAATGTTTCAAGAATAATACTGCCTCAAAATAAGCATGGAGCCAGTGTCGCATAACAACTAAAGCTGTCATGATAAAGCATCAAATATGGGTGCTGGTTTATGTCCTGGCTGTTCCACTTCTAACTTACTTACTTGCTAATAGCCTTGGAAAGGCAGCGAAGGATGGCTCAAGTTCTTGGGCCCCTGCCACCCACGTGGGAGATCTAGACGAAGCTTCTGACTCCCAGCTTCAGCCAGGCTCAGCCTGTTCATTGCAGCCACTTGAAGAGTGAATCAGTGAACCCTCTCCTCCCCTCCCCTCCATTCCCCTCCCCTCCCTTGCTATCTCTCTCTAACTCTTTCATCCCGACCCCTGAACTCCAGCAGAGAATGTGCTCAAGTATTTGGGTCCCTGCCACAAACATGGGAGACCCAGATTAAGTTCCTGGCTTCAGCCTGGCCCCAGCTATTGTGGACATTTAGGAAGTGAACCTGTGGATGGGAAATATCTTTCTGTCTCTCTTTTCCCATCTCTCTGTCTCTTTGCCTTCAAAATAAGTACTATTGACATCAAAAAGAAATTACACTTTGGGGTAGCCATTTGGCATCACAGTTAACACATCACTCAGGACACCTACATCCCATATCAGAGTACCTGGGTTCAAGTACTGGCTCTGCTCCTGATTCAAGCCTTTTGCTAAGGTGCACACTGGGAAGCAGCAGGTGATGGCTCTTGAGGCACTGCCACCCATGTTGAGTTCATAGCTCTCAGCTTCAGCCTGGCCCCAGCTGTAATGGACACTTGCGGGTGAATCAGAGTTGGAAGTATCTCTCTCCCCGGGTGGCTCTGCCTTTTAAACAGGAAATGAATAATTTTTAAAATTATGCATTGATTTTAATTTTTTGCACCAAAATAAACCTATCTTTTAATTTAATTTTTCAATAAATTTTTTTTATTTATTTTTATTTCAGAGGTAGAGTTACAGACATAGAGAGGAAGAGACAGAGAAAAAGGTCTTCCATCCACTGGTTCACTCCCCAAATGGCTGCAATGGTTAGAGTTGGGCTAATCCGAAGCCAGGAACAATGGGCTTCTTCCAGATCTCCCACACAGGTACAAGGACCCAAGCACTTAGACCATTCTTCTACTGCTTTTCCAGGCCATAGCAGAGAGCTAGTTGGAAGGGGAGCAGCCGGGATTAGAACCGGCACCCATATGGATACTGGCACTGCAAGTGGAGGCTTAGCCTATTACACCACAGCACCAGCTCTCAAGAACATCTGAAGGACACTTACACAATGTAAATACTAGACGAGGAGTTGCCACAGAATTTTGTTTAGGGAATAATGACCAGGAAAAATATCTGTACACATTAGGTAGGGGTCTGATTTTTCTTTCAAATACTTTTCATCTGCAGTTGGTTGAATGTGTGGATGCCCAACTCAAGGACATAAAGGGACAACTCTCCTCTTAGCACTTGGAGCACAAGCCCTGCGTCTGGGACCCAGCTCAACCACCCCTGCCTCCAGCTCCAGAGGGACTTGACTGGGGATTTGGACCAAACTGGAAGCCTGATGCATCCTCACCCTTTGCTTTTTTCTCTTTGCAAGTATTGATGGTTAGGCCAAGCCTAAAAGACTGCCTGCCCACCCAGGGATTCAGACTGAGGCTTTCTCCCAGGACCCCTAACCTGCGGAGCCCTCTGCAGCATCCTAACCTCTCACTCTAGGGGTCTCCCAATGTCAGAGGCCACCAGGGGCTCACAGGAAACCCCACCCAGGCCAGCCCTGGCTTGGTGTGCACTTCTCTGCCAGGAAGGGGTTAACTGGAGAGCTCCTTCTCTACCTGTGGTTTGGAGTGAGGATTCCCCCTCCCCACAGGTGAGAAGGGGGTGAGCAGGGGGCCTGGGGAAACCGAGACCACCTCTAATCAGGAAACCTCAGGAGACGATAGGTCGCATAGTCCCCGGGGGAGCCCAGGCCCCATCTGCGGCTCCTCCTCTGCAGGCCGCCCTTGCGCAGGGCACAGGCGGCCGTGGGGTCCAGGTATGATCCTGGAGTGCACATCTGAGTAATTCCACAGCAGCGCCAGGCCAATGCCTCTAGAGCAGCTTCTGTCCAATCCTGGGGATGTCTGACCCCTCCAGGAGCCCACAGGAGTGAGCTCCTGGCAGTGCCCCCTGGGCCCCCCCAGGAGCTGACCTGCTCATTCCCCGGGCTGCTGGTACAGCATCGTTCTGTCAGGACTCTCCTGGGCAAAGGCCCTGCTCACAGAATGGCTTCTTCCTCCCATGGGGTCTGCTCTAGGGAATGCTGGGAGTGGTGGTGGGCTGAGGCTGCAGGGACTGCTGGGGTCTGGAGGAGGAGGGAAAGGGTCAGTGAGGCAGAGGGGTCTTGGAGGGGCTGGAGTGTGGCATGGAAAGGGCTGCGGTTCATGGCATGCACACAAGAACACCTGAAAACCCTCTGGGACCCAGAGGCTGAGAGGGGCCCTCTGGAGTGACAGAGGTGGTCAAGGGGGCCACTTGAAGGCAGAAGCTCCTGGAGGCACTGAAGGTCCTGCTGAGAGCTGATGCCTGGGAGCATCTGGACTCTCCTGGGCCTGTGCCCTCGGGTCCCGGAGGGGTTAAGTTGGATGCTGGGGTTCCTGGGGGCCAGCAGGTGAAGTCTGCATGTCAGGAAAATTCATGCTGAAGAGAACCTGCAGGAAGAGTGCAGACTTGGCAGGCAATGGAGATGCCCCGCCCAGCCCCACCCCGGGCAGGAGCTGCAGTTGACAGGACCCAATACCAATGCTTCTCCCCAGGGGCTCCTAGCAGCTTTGCACAAATGCACATCTCAGTGAGAGGCGGCCCCTGTGGTTCTGCCCCAGCACAGAGGGGCTCTGCAGAGAAGCTCCAGGCTCCTGGCTCCAGAGCCACTGTGGCCATCTGGGGAGTGAACCAGTAGATGGAAGACCTCTCA